TTATTTTTTTGCATCATTCTACCGAGCTCACTAAGCTTTCAGGACGCCATTTTTTCCGAGAACGATATGCATGGTACTCTTTAAGAGGAGGTCGGGCATATAAGTACGTATTACTATTGCTAAACTTTGTAAGGCGGCAAACAACTTGCTGCGTCAATAATCAAGGGTCTCTTAGTTTGTTGTGTTTAGCGTGTTTTTGGAGTGCAACGGGCTCATGGTCGGTTGTGACAGCCGAGAATCAAGGTGAGCAAAAAGCAGCATAACTGTGGGAAGCTTGGCACACGCTTATCAATTTTGTTTGTTTTAATAGATTACCGCGGAAGGCGTCAGTGGATCTTCCAGGGATGGCTGACCATCACAAGAGTTGAAGTGAACGGTATGTATTCTAAGCGCCTTGGTATTTGGTATGTCTTAAACATGGTAAATAGGAGCTTACATAAAGCATATGTCAGGTCATTTTTAAAACGTACCAGGTACAGTTGCCCGTTCAGAATCCTCTTTCCATTTCTAATAAAATAGAGGGCAAAATTACTGAATGCTGATTGGTCACGAGGAAGGTTTTTTTTTCTTAATTTTGCTTGAGAAGAGGGCAAAATTACTAGCTCATGATTGGTACTCAGGTTGCCTAGCAACAGCTTATGCTACCAAAAGGATGTTGTTGAAGATTCGTCTCGTTTCGAGATAGTTGACGAAGAATATATCGAAGAATTAAAAGACAAGATTGAAAACGAAAACACGACGAGAAGCACGGAGTACTGGAAGAACGTTTTTAAAAAGTGGGCGAATGAAAGAAACTTCCAAGCAAATTTAGAAGAGTACGAGAGCGATGTCCTCGGCCGAACACTGGCGCAGTTTTATGCCGAGTTACGAAAAGAAAACGGAGATGAATATGAGCCTGACTGCCTGAAAGTAATGCAGGCATCACTGGAGAGATGTCTAAAATCCAAAGCCTATCCAAAGTCCTGGTATCTTTGTGCAAAAATAAAATTTCATTCAGCTCGGCATTCGTGCATTTGTGGCCATTGATTCTCTGTCAACTTTAAATGGCTTCCTATGACTGATTACTGAAGAGCGCATTCAGAAATTCAGTAATTTTCCACTCAATTTCATTAACAAGTAATCGCAATGGATCCTCGTAAAATTAATTATTAATATCACTTGTATTTTCACAAGTTGCTAAAATTGCCAGAGTCGAGCAACTCCTGAAAACATGCATGACATTAATCCTTAATTTTACCCAGCCCCATGCGATTACCTATACTAATGAAGACACGATTTTTTCCCCCATCATGTTGAAATCGAAATTTCAAAGTATGTCATCGCTTAAGTATTGCTTTTCCACTCAAGGGTTAAAGCCATTAAACATAAAACACGACCTCTAATTCGGGATCCTTTAACCAAACTGGAAGGGAAGAGTTACTTCCATTTTTCTCGGCACCATACTTTTCGCGAACTGTATTCCACGAATGTTCGTCTGTCTGACGGA